AGAAGTCAGAGGAGAATGGTCACCCTGGTTCGAGCTGATAGAAAGGCAACAAAAACTATAGGTAGAAGAGCATCTGAGGCAACAAGTCGTAAAGGCTCACCAAAATTGGAAGATTGGATGAGCCTGATCTGATGAGTCTTGAATTCTGCTGCAACATTCGGATGGTAGGTTCAGAATTTGAAGTCAACAACAAGAAAGATTTGCATAATGGATGTGCAGCAAAAATTTGGAGCAAGTGCATTATGCTATTGTCAATATGAACCAAACTTTCTGAGGAATTTCTTGTTGAAATTATGCCAGGAAAGATTAAAGAAAGTTCTGAAAGCAAATGGGGTCCAAACCGTTATTAGCAAGGTGTACCTAATAAAGTGGCCAGTGAGTGGCTATACCATTGAAACAGTGGTTATTTTAGCTACTGCATGGGCTCAGTTGTCAGATTAGCTTTGGTGTTCCTAAGAAATGCTATTTTAATGATATTTGCTCAGCAACATCAACATTTTACAGTCTCTCACTAATTGAAAGCTGTCTGGTAATATAAAACATATTTGCCAATAAAGACTGCCTGACTGAGAACTGTTCATGCTCACTATAAGAATAACAGGTTTCCCTACAGGATTTTATCAAAAGGCTTCACCAATCTCAAATAAAGTCCAGAGAAGCACCATTAGACTGTAGCTTGTGCATTACCTAACATGAAAAGGATTTCCACCAAAATGTCGCTCACACTGGGGGGACTTCTAGGGGTCGATGCCTCATCTCGCCCTCCAACGACAGTGAAACAGACGTTGTATGGCACAGTAACTGCTACATAAAAGGTGGCTAACAGGATCAGCCAATCCCAGCCTGCTTTGAAGGTGCCGTAGTGTAGAAGAATGAAACGGCTCTTCTGAATGGCTGCCACTTTGTATTCCGGGATGGGTGGCTTCTCACCAAACATGTTCTAAACGATAAAGATTTTCACAATATTATTTTTTCCTCACTTTGTATTTTATATAGTTTTTAACATTATCTTTACAAGGCCAGTGAAAACTACACAGATTTTGTGTTTATTGAGTCTGTGAGAAGATTTATGTATTTTCCAGCAAACAATAAGTCATGCAGGTTTGTAATTATTTTAGTTCCTGCACAGCTGGCTAATAACCGTCTGCAGTGAATTTAGCTGAAAGGAAAATACCCTACGGATCATTTATTATTCCAAAGTGGAAAAAACAATTTTGGGTGGATACAAGCAAAATAAGCTTTTGGGTATGTGCACTTTCAAAACTTGAGACTTCTATTCTGTAAATAGAACTTTGTGGTTAATGAAATGTCTAGATTCAAGTAGATTGTGTAGAATGTCACCGTTAAAGTCAAAACATTTGAGCATTTTTACATTCTAACCTTAAGTAATTATTCCAGATCTATTCAAAGAAGACAAACACACTAAAACTGTATTTTAATGGCATGTAGTTGAATTTATTTGAAAAAGTAAGCATCTCTTACATTGTTGATCTTGAGTTTGCTCTTGTCTTGTTTCTGCAGGTGTCCTGACAGCTGGTAAAGCACAGCTCGACTGCGCCGCCGGTTGGCATTGAAGCCAGGCGGTCGCGTGACCTTATGCACCTCCAGCCCCGTCTCCTCATCTAAGCACAGAGCAGGCATTAATCACTTTAATAATGATTTTTTTATTTATTGCATAACAAGTTAGACAAACACAGCTAAACAAAAACCACTAGATGCTGCTTTCTTGCAAATATTCAGAAAAGATTTTTACTAATACTTTAAATAACATCTTACTTCACTTCTCAATCCTGGAACAGCTTGACAAATATATGGCTACATTACATATTAGACAATACTGATGGCTCAAATTTGCGTTAATCGTTTGATCAAGGCTCGGTAACTGTAACAAAAAAAGAAATGTGAATTACAGTAACTCAACAACTGAAAGAACAAAAAAAAAAAATCTTTTTCTCTGTATACAGACTATTTTTTCTCTATAAAAACTAGAACCTAGCTTCAGAAACCAGGGCTAAAATGGCAGCCGCCTAATTTTGTTTACAAATCAACAGACCTTAATGAATAATTGATTTTGACAAAAAAACTGATGAAATAGTAATTAACTTTTAAATTAAATAAATATTGAATATTGGAATAAATATTAAATAAATTAGCAAATCAACAGATGCAAACAAACAAAACAAAATCAAGCAAAATACATGAAATAAAATGCAAATGAATGGCTGATTTTGCTCAAAAATCAAACTGAGGTAAGAGCTGATAAAACAGTAATTAACTGATAAAACAGTAATTAACTGCTTAATTGATAACAAACTGATAAAACAGTAATAAACTGATTTAATTTGCAAATCAACAAATAAAAACAAAGAAAAAAATAAAGAAACCAAACAAAATACATTTGCAAAATCAACAGATCCAAACAAATAAACAAAAAACAAGCAAAAATTCTGAAAACACAAATGAATAGCTGATTTTGCTTACAAAGGTATCCAAACAAAAAACAAACAAACTGATAAAATAATAACTGAATGATTTGCAAATTTAAAACAAGTGAATAAATACTAAACTAAATAAAACAAATGCATAAATAAAAAACTAGGGTTGGTGTTATGAGCTGCCTGCTTTGCATTTTGTGAATCTCTAAGGACCAGTGATTCAACCCCAGACCTCTTTCAATGATTTTTCTCGATTTAATTGATGGCAACAGTTACTACTTTGAAGAGCACCATCTGTCAGCCAATCGTTACCATGGAGTAATAAATCGTTTATTTCTTCATGTTCTTTCTAATTCTAATTTGTTCAATAAAGATATGTATATATATTTTTTTTTTTTTTTGCTTCTTTGCTTATTGTACACTTAATCCAACAATGCTCTTTCTTACAAAACACTTGGCATGGAAAACAGCATTTGGAAAGCTACACCCACATATTTAAACTTCTCAAACGAATCTCTCTTAATGAGTTGACATCATTAAACAGATATATAAGATCCTTGGTGCAGGTGCTATGTGCATCCTTCAGCCAAATGAACACTAATGTAAAATGTTTTGGCTGGAGCTCACGCCATGAAAGAAATCTTTCCCATCCGAGCCAAGCTCTCTCTTTAGCAGTTTAATGTTCTTTCTGTCTTTCTCTTGGGAGGAGAGGTGTCAGGCAAGCCCCACACATGAGATGCAGAATGCCTGTGTCAAAGCATCTGAAACCGCATGATTCAAGAGCCAGGAACGAGTATGACGAATGAGGAACAGAGGACAGGACGAGCGTGCTGAGTGTGACTTTCACAGGAACAGGTGTCTGAGGTGAGTGTGTGTGTGTGTGTGTGAATGAAAATTTGACGGATTAAGCCAGATTAGGAATAATCATCTTATAAAGTGCTTTCATCACATTTCAGGGTGAAAGTTTTGCTGTGTGAATAAAAAGGATGAATCACTATAATTACCATATCTGGAATTAATTATTGAAGAACTTCAATAATACCTGTACTTCCACAGAACAAATTGTCCAAAAAACCCCACATACAAACTGTAATAGAAAAAAAATTCATAATCCTGTTGTCTGATTATCTTTGTTTTCAATGTTTAAGCTAAATAAAGCTGTGTTTCCTGTTAAATCTCCTTAAACCCTGGTTTTAGAGTCTTCTTACTTGGTTCTTTAATTAATTTTCAATAACAATGCATACATAGAAAACATTTTGAGGATATAATGATTTTATTATTGATTAAAAGTGCCCACTGAAAAGAGTAAGTACTACCAATATAATACTAAATATTTTCAAATATCCTAGAGAACTACCCAAAGATCCTCTGTAAACATAGGTTTTCTTACATCTTTATGTAATCCCCGACACACTTGATGATGACATCAAAGTTCAGTGGGGGCTATTGCATCACTCCCAGTACTTTTTTTTTCAGACCATTTCTGAATAGACTTCTCTGAACATTAAATGGGTCCCTGGTACCTGGGCTCTACTGATTTTTTTTCAGATTGAAGGCATCTCCAGTTTTCAAAGAGTAATTATCTTGCTGTGTCTTGCATCTCCTGCACAAGTTTCCTTGACCGACCACTGCATTTACAATCTTGAATGTTGCCTGTGTGTTTGTGCTTCTTCAAAAGATCTTGAACTGAACATCTTGAGCCCAATCTGCTTTGAAACCTGTTTGGGTGAGACCTTGTAAGTGCAGTATGACACATTAACTTGTTGGCAGAGTTGGCTGTTCCTCACTCAGTTTTAAGCCTCCTACACAGCTGTATCTATTTCAGGTAATGACTAGGTTTCAACTCACATGTGGGAATGATGACCTTACTAAAGTTATACAAAAACTCAGTGCATCGATAGGATTTAATCCGAAGTAGTTTTATTCATTCATTTTGTAAATATACAAAAATAAACAAGCAATGTTAATATTTCTGAAAGCATTCTCTGTTGAGTGAGGATTTGAAAATGTGTAGAAGCTTAAAACTGTTTAAATACTAGTATAAATATATGCGTATTTCAAAATATCCCAGTGAAAAAGGGAAGAGAAGATTTGAGTTTTACAGTAATAATAATAGCTATTAACCCTTAGAAATCTGGGGCCTTTTTGAGCGTTTTTTACTACTTTAAAATTTTACTCTAATAAGTAACCTTCAAAACAAAAAAAAGGCAAAGACAATGTCAAAACAATGTGAAAATTTGATTAAAAAACAGGCAAACCTCTTCAGCATTTTTTGTACCATTGCACTTTTTTGTGCAAGAACTTTGAAAAACAAAAGCCATATCACAGGTCTTGTACTTCCAAGGGTTAACTCTTATTTTTGCCACTAGATGGCACCAATATGGAGTCTGTAAAACAAAACTGAAAGAATTTTTTAATTTTAATTGGAATTACCTCAAAAAGTACATGTCAAAACTCTTGTAATGTTCATTTAAAACCAAAAATATCAAAACTTAAAACATTTTTGAAACCTACAAATTATATGTGAAACAAAAATTAAACAATAGGTGGGTCGCGTCACTTAAAGCTTTCCTGTGGCTCAGTTGGTAGAGCATTTTGCTAACAACGCAAAGGTAGGGGGTTCAAATCACAGGGAAAGCAAGAACTGACAGAAAATATATGTTCATTCAAATGTAACTCGCTTTGTATAAAAGCGTCTGCCAAATGCATAAATGTAAAACAGTCGGTGTGTGCAGAGACTTCTAACAGATAATAATCACACAGTTGTTTTTTTTCTCTCTTTTTCTATCTTTTCCTGTTGTAGATGGCTTGATTGTAACTATGGAGAGCTTCTTGTGAAAGGAAGTAGGGCTAGATAAGTGCACACTTCTTCCTACTTCCCATCAAGCGTCTAAAAACTGAAACATTGACATTCATGACATTTTTTTCATTGTTGTGTTTGTTTTTTCCATCTTTCTTGTGATGTACTGGCACAGTTTTGTATGCTTGTGATGAATGAATAAAAAAGTTAAAGAGCACAAATCAAAATCATAACACATTCATAAAAATGATTTTTCAGAATGGATATTCTGGGTTCTTGGTTAAAGCAATAATAAAAATTGGATGAACACTCTTTGTTTCTTTTACTAGTCTATTTCTTAGATTTTTCAAGTTTAACGAAATAAAAAAATAACAAGACATTTGCCATAAATTTGCCCCATTTCTTTTTCTCACCCAGTGACTTCTATTATATTTATTGCTTTTTGTTCGTTTAAAAAACTGCTTTGATGCTAACTACCCAAGCATGTCTCACTCACCTCTTTCAGGACTCTGTTCTTCATCTTGGACTTTCTTGTTGTCAGTGATGTCCTTATGTGACACCAGGAAGAGCACCACCTCTCCCTTCTCATTCTTAATTGGCACAATATCCAGCAGACACCAGAACTGAGTCCCTGACAAAACACAATATTTCAAGGTTAACATTTAATGTTGACACAACACCGATTTTGATGAGTTGTGAAAATGTAGCATATTTCAAAATAATTCAGCCGTATCAATCCTGGTTCCTATGTGTTGAAATGTGTCTAATATAATAACTGCATAAAGCCTTTCACCAGAGCGTTCCTGCTTATTGTTTCCAGCCAAAGTCAAGGGCTTTTTTCCTCACAGTGTTGGTTTTAAATGATTAATTTCCCATGAAAGCTTAGAAGTGTTTGAGTAAATATAGAATTTTAAAGCATTTTATGCAAAGTAAATCAATAGATACAGCATGGTGTAGATTGAGGTGCTTCTGGAACAAGGTTTAGATGAATTAGTAACGCATTACTTTAACTTAAGAGTGAATGTGGGGAATGAATGTGGCTCTTACCTCCGTGGGATTGTACCTCTCAGCCTATGTGAGCTGGAGATGTGACCCGAAAAGGAATAAACGACTAAACAGTGGATGCACGGATGTTTGGATGAAGGTATGTTTATTAGAGATGTAACTATACATATATTCATTTTGAACTGTTCGATACGAAACATTCGGTTTGGTACAAGTGAATACCGGACAGTGCAGCCTGAAACTTTTATATTTAAAATACAAAAGAAGTGTTCAAAAGAAGGGTGTCAAACATACAGCCAGTGGAAGAGACAAAGAGTGAAAAAAGAAAGTTTGCATGTGTTCAATGTGAGCAGCATTTTAGTTTATTCTTTTTCAAGATCAACGGGTGAGAAGCTTTATTCTGCTAATATATTGTTTAACCCAGTACTTAGCCTCAGATGGTACCAGTCTGGTGAAATGACAGGTCTATTTTTATGACGGGTCTTCGGTATAATACTGTTGTGCAGATTATGTTTTCCCTCATAAAGTGATGATGATGTTGATAGAATTCCAGTGGACAAATCAACAATAATGTCACTATTGTGGTGCTGAAATCTCAAAGTGAGTAAAAGTAGCAAAATCAAATTTTACATTCTTTTTTTAATCTTTGTGTTGTTAGTGAAAATCTATCAGATCAATAAATTGTTCTCATTTTTAGCAAAAATATCTTTATCTATACATCAGCTCTGATTTAAAAACAACTATTATTTTTTATTAAATCCAATTTTTGGGAATTAAAGACAATTTTTTTATGAAAAACAATTGTAGCCTGGATTTTTAAAAAATCTTTTATCACAGTTTTGGACATGTCAAACAATGTTGGCATTAGTGGATTTTTTTGTGTTCGTGTAGTACCAGATTTTCATATTTCATTTTATTTATAACAATCTTTTTTTGATTGCAAAGCCAAATAATTATGCATTAAATATTAATTTGCTTGAAGTAGTAACCCCTGAAGAAATACCTCCAGCACTGTTCAATGTAAAAGGAAAAGACAAAGACAATACTTTTAAGTTGTTGGGTTTTTATAAAAAAAATAAATAAATAAATAGGAAACCCTACATTTTTTTGCTGTATAAAAAATGTACCAAACCGTTTTGTGACCCATTACATCCCTAATTTGGATACTAAATATTCTTTTATTTCTTGTTATGCCATCACCATAAACATCCAAAGTGTCCGCATTAAAATGTTTAAAGGCTTGAGGAAATTATGAGGGACAAACGAGTCAATGCAAGTAATTTATCTCTTCATTACGCGCTCATTTCTTTTCCCGGACTTCCCAGTCTCTAATCAAGTCTGTCCAATTGTCTCATCAATGAGATCCATCCATCTCTGTGGTTATCTCTTTTTAGATTAAAAAGTAGTCTTTTGACAGCTAAGCTGAGCACATCATGAGTGCTAAGAACTCCCTGTGCGTGTGTTTGTGTGCACCAGCTCTTGTCTGCTGCCGGTCCCCCAGCATTGTTCTCCAGCTGCTCAACATTACCCCACAGCTTCATGCCATGCCTCATTAAATCGAGATGGTGGAAAACAGAAAGAAAGACGTAGAAATGCTTGGTTGGAGGTTGGAATCTCTAATGATACACTGTTTGTGTGTGCGAGGGCATTAGTGTTTGTGTGCGAATCACCAAGACCTTTCATTAGGCTCAGCTTGAGTCAAGGGAAATAAATTTCAATATAAATAGCCACATTTGATAGAAACAGCAGTCATATAACAGTTATTATAAAAAAAAACACTTAATATGTCTTGAAAAACCAAAAGACGTAGTTATGAATAAATAATGTGCTGTTGACAAAAGGCAAATACAATACATTGATTTTTTTTCCTCATGTGTTGAACAATTAAAGTCAGCAATGAATGATTTATTAGCTCATGATTGACCTCATGAATTGCACGATGATTACGAGAGTAAACATGTAGATCTTAGACCTCAAATAACAGCTTTTTAAAACAATCACTGTTTGTCGAAGCTATTTCTTTTTTAGCTTTTGGTGAATTAAATGATATTTTTGAACTGCCACCTGCCAACGATTCATTCTCATTCTTTGTTTCAAAAAGCATTTGCTGCTCTTTCATCCAAATTATAGCCAATGCCCTAAACACTGAGGGTCTTCTTTATTAGATTTCTTATTTTTTCAGTTGTGTTTTGTGCCAATGGCAGCTCCTAGATTTGATTGCATTATTAATTTTTGGTGAATCACAGTTTTCCATTTTAGCATAGATAGTTTGTGCAGGTGTTCACCAAATATGAAATGAACAAGCAGACGTGCAAGAAATAATGGCTTATTTTAGCTATTTTAAGCCATAATTATCTAGTTTAGACATTTAGGGTAAAGATTATTTTGCTAATTTCGAGAAAATATGACTTAAATTTTCTTAAGAAGAAAAAATGCTTATTCTGATCATGTATTTGCTTGAATTAAGAAAGGTGGTCGCATCGAAAATTGATTTGATTTAGATTTATCTATTTTTCTTATTTTATTTTGTTTGCTAATGACAATAAATGAGAAATTCTTCATTTATCTATTTTTTCATTACATTACACAATAATTAACAGATTTGAATTCAAATGATCATGCAAATCCCGTAATGTTTGTGTAAATCCAATAATATTAAGGCTAATACCCTTTTCGAAACCCAGCAATGGACTGGCGACCTGTGTACCCCCGCCTCTCACCAATGTGTGCTGGAGATAGGCACCGGCAGACCCCCGTGACCCCAAAAAGGGAATAAGCAAGTTGAAAATTTAATGAATGAACCTTTTTGAAACGTACCCATATTTTAAATTAAAATTAAACAATAGGTGGGTAGCATCATTCCTACTTATTTCAAAACAGCCGGTGTGAGTGGCACATGCACCAGTGCATGCAGAGACTTCTAAGAGTTTATATGAATTAAGCCATGTGTATTGCTTATAAAGCTAGAGAAACATATTGTATATTTCAGGAAATAGAATTTTTTTTAACCGTAATGCCACTAGTTATCTTAACAAAACAGTGGTATGCCATAGATTAGATATTATGGTTGATGTTGTTGCTTCATGAGTACTGAACACGGAATGTACATCTGACACTCCGTTGAGCTCTTCATCTCACAGAGCACTGTTTTGGTCTCAACTCAACATGGCAGCCGTGCAGCCGAGGTATTTATAATCTTCTATTCCCTTTGAACCCTGTCTTACCACCTATAACTGAACCAGCAGGTTAAGCAAGGTGCGTTAGACATGTTTCGTCAATGTCACATCATTACGTCCTCTGACTCAATGACAGAGTGGAACCAGTGGAACCAGTGATAGTCATAGGTACAACAACAAAGGAAACATTTGGTCTTCATCAGACAATCCACATCGAGCCAAACCAACTGGAGAGAAAACACAAATTGCCTATTCTCTTTGATAAAGTGGCAAGCAGCTCCAGAGTGTCTCTCATAAACAAGCCAAATGGATAAATCAGTATATCAGGATTTAGGCATCAGAAGGCAAATTTCCAATAATGCATGTGGCATGAAAGCGAAATTGAAGTGAATCAGCGGAGAAATCGGTGGTAGAAGCTACTGCTTTGGAGATGTGTTTTGCTCCAGATGTCTGTCAGAATCTTTCCAGCATGGCCTCTTGTCTGATATGGTTTGACACAGAAGTCTAAGCTGTGCGTTCACAGGAACTATTTGTGGACTGGATGGAATGGTGCTCTTTTCGCCGCACTAGCATTAAACATACAACATTCTGAGCTGTTTCTGTTTATCAGAATCCACCCTCTTCTCCAAGAATATTTAAATGCATTCGATTGTTGTTTC